TGGAGGACTGGCTGCAGCAACTCGAGGACTACCTCGATGCTGCCCAAGTCGCCCCCACCCACCACATCGTCGCCGCCAAGCTCTGCTTAAAGGACCAGGCGTACCGTTGGTACCGCCGCCAAGGGTTCGACGAGCAGAGCGAAGGTGTGTTTGACGACTTCAAGGACCGCCTCCGTCGCCGCTTCGGCAGCCCCAATGCTGAACTCATTGCCCGTGACAAGCTATACTCTCTCGTGCAGCGTGGTTCTGTGACCCGCTACATCGAGGAGTTTGAAGACCTCTCCTCCCAGATTGAGGAGCTGGGCTCTGCTGATGCGATGTACCTCTTCCAGAAGGGCCTCAAGCCCAAGATCAGAGAGTACATCGCCAGCAACCCTGATGCCCGCAAGTCCCTGGACGTGATGATGGACGTTGCCGAGAACCTCGACAACGTCCAGTACCATGGCCGCCAGTTCTACCCGCAGCTGGCAGGCGGCCATCGGTCTCATCACGTCCCAGCCCGTCCGCCTCGCCCGGCCCCGCCCGCAAGACCCATGCCTGAGCCCATGGACGTTGACGTCAACGCCATGGAGGCTCGTGGCCCTCCCCGCTCCCGGTTCCAGCAAGCTGCCACTGTCTCCCCCAAGGACAGACAGAAGCAGGAGGACCTCCGCCATGGTTCCTGCTTCTTCTGTCACCGACCGGGACACCAGGCCAAGGAGTGCCCCATGAAGTCGGGAAACGGCCGACCCTACTAGGTGGCTCTGGAGCCCTAGTAGGAGACCAACGCCGTGGATTGCTCAATGCAGTCCACGCGTCTCCAGAGGAAGTTCACCTCGCCCCCTCCCCCGAAGGAGAAACAAACCAAGTGTTGTGCGTCGTGCGAGAGGTGCATGGTGGCGCAAGCCGCCTGCCTCTCCACGAACGTGAAGAGAAAACCAAAATTGAAAACCAAAACAAAAAAGAAAATCAAGAACCCTTGAGGGACAGGACCGCCTGTGCCCTCACCCCTGTCAAGTCGTGTGTGTCGGATGCTTCCGACATGTGTCCGCAAGCCGTGGACGTCGTGTGCAATGGCGTGCTGACGCCGCAGGCCCCCGCAATGGCCGAACCCTATCCAAAATGTCCGAGTGGCCGTGATGAAGCCAACCAAGACCAAGTGTCGCCCGTTCCCCCAAGTCAAGTCATGGTGCAGGAGGCTGTGCAGGAGGACCATGAAGAGTCCCTGCTGTACCTCCCTGCCACCGTCCAAGGTCACACCGTCCGAATGATGGTGGACTCTGGAGCAAGCTGCAACTTTGTCAGCAGACGCTTGCTCCAGGAGCTCAACATACATGCAACCAAGAAGAAGTCGCCGATGAGTGTGGCGCTTGCAGACGATCGTGTGCAGCAGTGCACACACCAAGTGGTCCTGCGAGTGGCCCTCCATCCCAAGTACCATCCTGTCCTGTTGTTCCAAGTGATCGACACCAAGTTCGATGCCATCCTCGGCATGAGCTGGCTTGCTCGTGCCGAGCCGACTCCAGTCGTCGACTGGAAAGGCCGCACTGTCCGTGTTGGCCCTGACATTGTCCTGCAGGGCATGGCCTCACCCAACATGCCACCTCTCCTCTCAGCCATGCAATTCAAGAGGCTGATCAAGAAGGACACGTCGTTCCTCTGTGTCGTGCGTGAGGTCGACGACACCGACCAAGCCGGTCCCGGTCCCCCGCCTGTGGTGACCAAGCTGCTCGACGAGTACAAGGACGTATTCCCCGACCAGTTGCCACAATGCCTGCCACCCCAACGCACCGTCGATCATCGCATCGACATCGAACCAGGCTCGTCGCCTCCGTCAAGACCGACGTACCAACTGTCGCTGACGGAGATGGACGAACTCAAGCGCCAGTTGGATGACCTCCTCGCCCATGGGTTCATCCGCCCGAGCCAGTCACCGTATGGTGCACCAGTGCTCTTTGTCAAGAAGAAAGAAGGTGATCTCAGGATGTGCGTCGACTATCGCGCACTAAACAAACAGACCATCAAGAACACCTACCCGTTGCCCAGGATCGACGAGTTGATGGATCGTCTGAGTGGAGCAAAGGTCTTTAGCAAGATAGACCTCCGCTCAGGCTACCATCAGATCCGCATCCACGAGGATGATGTCCACAAGACCGCCTTCAGGACTCGCTACGGACTGTACGAGTTCCTAGTGCTGCCGTTCGGATTGACGAACGCACCTGCCACGTTCATGCAGCTGATGAACGATGTGTTCCGCCAAGAGCTCGACAACTCTGTCATCGTGTACCTGGATGATATCCTTGTGTACAGCAAGGATGAAGCGACCCATGAAGGTCATGTCGCCCGCGTGCTGGCCAAGCTACGCGAGCACAAGTTGTATGCCAAACTGTCCAAGTGTGAGTTCTTCAAGAATCAAGTCCCGTTCCTGGGACACGTTGTCTCAGGAAGAGGAATCGAAGTCGACCCCGCCAAGGTCAAGTCTGTGGTCGAGTGGCCGCCGCTCGCATGCGTCTCTGACGTGCAGTCGTTTCTCGGTCTCGTCAACTACTACCGCCGATTCATCCCCGATCTGGCGCGCACTGCCGGTCCACTCACAGACCTACTCCGCAAAGAGTGCCCCTTCGTGTGGGACCACCCACAACGCCAAGCGTTCGAGACCCTCAAGCACGCCTTGACGAACGCTCCTGTCCTCGCTGTGTTCGACCCGAACACGGATGTCTCCGTGCACACCGACGCCTCCGACTTTGCGGTGGGAGCTGTTTTGATGCAGGAGGGAAGGCCCGTTGCCTTCGAGTCGCGCAAACTGTCCCAACACGAGATCAACTATCCCGTGCACGAGAAGGAGCAGCTTGCGATCATCTACGCGCTGCAGAAGTTCCGAGTGTACCTCCACGGTACCGCCAAGCCCTTCAAGATTGTGACGGACCACCAGTCACTGCGTTACCTCGACACCAAGAAGAACCTGAGCCGACGCCAAGCGCGATGGATGGAGTTCCTCGCCGAGTACAACTACGAGGTTGTATACCAGAAAGGCAAACTCAATGTGGTGCCTGACGCACTGTCCCGACGCCCCGACTACCAATTGGCGTCACTGTACGAGTCGACTGTCAGTGTCGACAACACGATGCTGGATGTTGTCCGAGACAACATCGCCAACGACAAACAGTTCGGAGAACTGTTCCGAAAGGTGTCTAAGCTCCCCAAGGACGACGAATCATCCGAGTACACAGTGCGTGATGGCCTGCTCCTCCTGAAGAAGGACAGCCGTGTCTGTGTGCCGGACATTCCGTCGTTGAAGACCAAGTTGCTCCAAGAGGTCCACGACTCGCCCCTCGCTGGACACTTTGGAGTCGAGAAGACATACGACCGACTGGCCAAAGTCGCATACTGGCCTGGAATGAAGCGCACCGTCGAGAAGTACATCGAGTCCTGCCATACCTGCAAGATGGTCAAGTCACGCACGACCCGAGAGCAAGGATTGCTGCAACCCCTGCCTGTTCCCGACCGCCCCTGGACCAGCATGTCCATGGATCTCATCACGCATCTACCGACGACCAAGTTGGACCACGATGCAATCGCTGTCTTTGTCGACAGGTTCAGCAAGATGGCACACTTTGTGCCGTGCCAGACGACATGCTCCGCGCCTGACCTTGCACTGCTGTTCTTCAAGCATGTGTTCAAGCACCACGGCCTCCCAAAGTCCATCGTCAGTGATCGAGACCCCCGATTCACCTCCTTGTTTTGGACAAGTCTGTTCGACCATCTCGGCACCAAGCTGAACATGTCAACCTCGCACCACCAACAAACGGATGGACAGTCCGAGCGGACGATCCGCACCCTCGAGCAATACCTGAGGACATACGCCTCGACCAGCCAAGACGACTGGGACATACAGCTGAGTCATGCAGAGTTTGCATACAACACCGCCAAGTCGAGCACAACTGGCTTGAGCCCCTTTGAGGCGCTCTACGGATTCCAGCCTGATGTTCCCACCTCCTTGACACTGACCGAGTCCACGGCTGGATTGCCTCCCAAACCAAGTGCCTTTGTCAAAGATCATCAAGTCCGACACAAGATGATCGCCGACGCGCTCACGGATGCGCAACAAGTGATGGCGAAGTACTACGACCGCCGACACCAGGATGTCTCCTTTGAAGTTGGAGACCTTGTCTACCTGGACGCCGACAACATCAAGGTCCCCGAAGCCCAGTCAAAGAAGTTGTTGCCCAAGTACCGAGGACCGTTCAAGATAGCGGCCCGACCCAGTCCCCTCAACTACCTGTTGGACTTGCCACCTGGAAGCAAGCTCCATCCTGTCTTCCATGTGTCCAAGCTGCGTCGCCACACGACCCGCAGTCCAGCACAGTTCCCCGACGCCGACGAAGGTGTCCCGGACGACGCACCACTGGAAGACGACCTCGGACAATACTATACTCAAGAATATGAAGTCGAAAGGATCGTGAGGCACAAGAAAGTGGCTGATGGGTCACTTCGGTTTTATGTCAAGTGGGTTGGTTACCCACACTCGGGCAACACATGGCAAACACTGGAGGACTTGTCCCATGCACCCGAGGAGCTGAGTAAATACGGTAAACACCTCGAGGAGCCCCAAATAAAGAGCACACGCAGGGCTCCTCGCAGGAAGCCTTCTTAAGTGTGGGAGTGTAGGAGATGGTATCTCCGACGCTGTGCTGCGCGTACTGCGCGTACTGCGCGGCGCAGTGGGTCGTGACCTGTGCTGCGCTTTGCGTTTTCACGCACCGCAGGCAGGCCACCGCAGGGTATACCTGCGGGTTGCCCCCGTTCCCCCCGTTTGTCTGGAGTTCGGTTTTATCGTGAATAAACGTAAGTGCTCCCCGAGCTCACCCGTCCGCTAGAGTAGCCTAGCACCGCCCTGTTCTGCCCCGTCCTGTCTTGTCTTGTACCCCCTCCCTCCCCGTCTTGCCCCAACGTCCCAGTAGTGGACGTTACACTTTGTCAATGACGAAGTCGAGTTCCTACTTGCCTGCGGCTTCTTCATGATGTGCAATGACATTCCCAAGATCGATGCGAGCACACAGGACGAAGGAACGTGGAGACGGCTGATTATTGAAAAGTTCAGCAGCACCTTTATCCCCCCAAACCACCCGACACGCATCCCCGATCCCGACAACTATGTCTTTGCCGGCCGCAGCGATGTCGACGAATCTATCATCTCCTGGGCGCCCATGTTCCTGAGTTACCTGGTCGAGCAGCTCAAGCGCCCGCCTCCTCCTTTGCCGCAAGAGTTCCAGAAGACGGTCGACGACATCCGATGCCAGAACGACACTGTGGCCCAATTCATCCAAGAGTGCGTTAACAAGCAGGCAACCCGAGACCATAGCCCCGAACGCATCGCCTTCCACCGCAACGACGTCTGGAACAAGTACTCGAGCTTTATGCGCAATCGCAATATCAGAATCAACAGCACCGGACAGGCCTTTAGCAAGTTCTTTGCCAAATTCGAGGAGCAGCTGGGAATCCAGGGACGAGACCATGAGGGAGCCTTCGTCTATGACTTGGTCGTTACCGCGGCGGTCTGGGACTCGCTCTAGTGTGTGTATGTGTTTGCTGTAATTTCAGTGCTGCTGTGTTTTTAAACACAGACAATAGCAAATAAAAAGTAGTACAAAAGACTCGCTCGTTTCCATATCCAGCACGGGTCGCGGGAACGCCTTTTCTTTTTGGACGCGCGCAGTGTTCTGTGACAACTGGGTGGCGAGGGGCCGTGTGGATGGGTGGCAATACCAGCGTCGACCGAGCTGCCAGGCCATCTTGCTGCGCGTTTGGGGCAGTACCACAGGGATCTCCACTGCCGATCTCGCGAGAGTGTCCTCGCTGGGTGTTCTCGTTGTGTCCTCGTCCTCGCCAGGATAGACCGTCGCCGCAGTCAACCGCGAGGTTGTAAGTTCGAACCCACCTTGTGTTTTGGGACGATGATTGATCGGATGTGTCCTGGGTGGGCAGGGTAATGGTGTGAACGCAAGATCATGGCAGGGCAGACATGTTTGACGCAAGCGGGGTGGTTTGGATTGGTCTTGGATGATCACGTCTGGTGAAGATGGAGCCGGTCGGCGCTGGCGGCGGGTGGTGTCCGACACAAAAGGATCGGCTCGCTTGGAAGGTCAGATCACCGAAGGGAGGTGACGCCGGGGAAGTGGAGTGAACAAATGATCAATGATCAAAAATCAGTATTGATTGCTGGGACTTGTTGAAGAAAAATGCAAAACGAATGATTTCTTGTACGCATTTCTTCCAACGCCCTTTTATTGCCCCGATAACACCTTTTTATAGCCCCGATTGGAGGGTTTCTCCATGACTCAGTGACGGAGTATCACAGGCCGAAGCCAATGTGAACCCTGATCCATTTTGCCTCGTAAGGTACAACGGACCCTCTAATGTCAGCCCCATTGGGGGCATAATTTTCGGTCGAAGGAAGTGTTGGCAATACGTGAGAGAGGGGGTTTGATCTCGCGGACGAGGAACCCCATTTTCGCGGCTTACCAACTGCGCCAAGTCATTCGTTTTCTGATTTGGCGCCAAAGCGGCTCTTGACCATTGGGACAATACACGTGACTGGACGCATATCCCTCCTGGTCAATAGATACCTTAGAATCCGCGTTGTCACTCCATTCTCGAAAGTAAGTGCAGAACAACACAGCTGCTTCCATGAACATGTAGTATGTGATGTGGTCGCGTCAAGCAAAGCCACAAGAAATAAAACAGATCACTTTGGCAGCCTCCGAGTGAACACCACCGGTCGCTCTCCGATCTCCACAATCGACCTGCACACTGTGATCATGTTGCGCGCCGCATTGACGTCGCGATTCCACACTGTCCGGCAGCTGGGATTCTTGCAGCTCCTGACAAAGTGGGAATTCGCAACGCTGGGCGCATCGAGTCCTTCCAACCGAACTGGCTCCAGGCACTTGGAGCACACTTGCGAGGTGTTGAACTCGTTCGTCGAGGCCACCTTGACGCTTCCATGATGGTGATTGGGACGGCGTCGGTGGTGCTCGAATTGCTCAAAGTACTGAGCAAACCGCTGCCTCCGAGGGCTGGATGCATAGCCCTTGCCTTGCCGCCATGACGCATTGCCAAAGGCGATCACCACATCGGTCCGTATCGGGGCGTGCTTCAGGACGGCCTTGCACATCCTGTCGACGGCCACATGTCGCATTCAGCGACCAGTTCATGTGCCTCCCCACTCGACTCGAAGTGCCATTTGTGAATGGTGCTCTTGGACACACTGGGGGATTGGCTGTAAACATGTGATGGTATTACAGCCAATCCAATAAAAAACGGGACACCCAGGTTTTGACCATTGATCGAATATTTTGTTACCCAATGTTATCGCGCGCTGGCCATGACCATTCGCCACACATCCGACTTTCGCACCGCCGCATTGCGATGCTACGCCCTCATCCATAGCCTGCGTAAGGTCGCCTCCATATTCAGTGTATCCAAGAGCACCATCCATCGATGGCACCGAGGATGCAAGCTGGATGACCCATCCCGGGTCCCAGCTCGCAGATCCACCTTCTTTGAGCAGGCATGTCCAGTCATTCGCACCCTGATTGAACAGGACCCGTTCCAGACTGGTCCTGTGCTGCGATGCAAGCTCGAGTCCATCCTCCAGAGGAAAGTATCACTCTCACTCTGCCACACTGCCCTACAGCGAGCAGGTCTCTCTCACAAGAGGGCAACACACCTCTACAAGTCCAAGCGACTGGATGAGCGAGTAGCACAGTTCAGGGACCAGGTCCGCTCCATCGACCCACGACGGCTCGTTTTTGTCGATGAGACGGGGATCAGGAAATCCATTTTCCCACTCTATGGATACTCACCGAAGGGTGCTCCGCTTCGCCAGCGCAATCACATGAAACACAAGTCCGTCTCGGCTGCATTTGCCATCAACCACTCTGGTGTGCTGCATCGCATGTACTACAGTCAAACCAGAAAGAAACGGGACAGTCACTTCCTGGCATCAGCGACACAGGTCTGCTGATCCGTAGACCCCAGTGGGCAGGTCGTGCGATTGTTTCCCGTCCTGGTTGGCAATCTCTTTGTTTTGGGTGGGTCCGGAAGCAAAGTCTTGAATACACTCGGACGTTCTCCTGTGGCGATGATCGACTGGCATACCGAGATCATATTCCTTGTGGTAGAGTGAGAGTGAAACTTTCCTCTGGAGGATGGACTCGAGCTTGCATCGCAACACAGGACCAGTCTGGAACGGGTCCTGTTCAATCAGGGTGCGAATGACTGGACATGCCTGCTCAAAGAAGGTGGATCTGCGAGCTGGGACCCGGGATGGGTCATCCAGCTTGCATCCTCGGTGCCATCGATGGATGGTGCTCTTGGATACACTGAATATGGAGGCGACCTTACGCAGGCTATGGATGAGGGCGTAGCATCGCAATGCGGCGGTGCGAAAGTCGGATGTGTGGCGAATGGTCATGGCCAGCGCGCGATGGTTTTGGCTAACAAAATATTCGATCAATGGTCAAAACCTGGGTGTCCCGTTTTTTATTAGATTGGCTGTAATATATTCACATGCACAATTGAAAAAAAAATGTCGAGATCTCCCCAACGCCTGGTGATTCGGAGAAGCCATGCACGCATGGGTCCCTAGATCGCTATACAGGTCCTTTCGGGACGCAGGAGCGAGCTCTGAAGACGTGTCCTGTAAGCGGACAGCCTCTCGGAATCATCTCATATTGAATGGCGGGGGCTTTCGGGAATCGAACCCCCGCTGTGTGAGAGCAGAGGAGCGAACCGTGAGCGCCTTAACCATCCGGACATTTTTTGAACGGAAGAAAAGGGCGGTCTTTCGATGATGACCCCTCCTTATCACGTGACCTGACCCACCGACCACCTTCCAGGCGATACCAAACTCGTCTAACCGGGATCAGTCTCGAGTTTTGTGGTTACTTGGCACTATCAACTCTCTCGCCTGAGACAAGAGCTCTTGGTATTCATGTTGCGCGCCGCATTGACGTCGCGATTCCACACTGTCCGGCAGCTGGGATTCTTGCAGCTCCTGACAAAGTGGGAATTCGCAGCACTGGGCGCATCGAGTCCTTCCAACCGAACTGGCTCCACACTCTTGAAGCAAACTTCCGTGTGGTTGAAATTGTTACTCGTTGGTCGAGATTATCTTGCACGGACTCTGGATGAGGGTGTAGCATCGCAAGGCAACAATGCAAAAGTTGGTTGCGTGTGGTGAATGGTTATGTCCAACGCACAATGATATTTGGTAACAAAATAACTGTTCAATGGTCAAAATTCAAGGGTATGCCCTTATTTATTGGTTTCACTTTCAATTCGGTTACGTTGATCATCAAGCACCCTTTTCAAGGTCAATGTCTTTCGATCCACTTCTGCGCTATCCTTTCGGGCTCGTCTGTTTATCTTCCCCTGCAAAGTTTGAATGCGAGAAAAGAGCTTGCATTTCGCTGCAATTTTGAAACCTAAGCGCCGGGCATTGGCAAGTCCTTCAAAATTTTCAATAAAATTTTCAATTTCCATCTGAAGCCTGACTTTCATTTTTTCGATTTTTGCAAGGCGCTCTTTGACGATAATCTTGGGAATAAATTCCGTACACTTGATCAAGCTCTCCAATACTGAGGGGTCGAGTGATGCATAGATTCTATCGGAAACCAGAATGTGTTATCATGAATTATAGGCGACAGACACTTCACTAAATGCGTTTTGATTAGCGATGTCGTACATGTCGTAGCTAGAGTCGTGTATCTCACGTGGTGGGCGCTTTTCGACTTCTATCTCTTTAAGCTGAGTTTCCCTGGCTTCACTCAGAATTGTCAAAGAATTTCCGACGGCTTGAGCAGCTCGGAGGCATTTGATAATTTGTCGAGTTTCCTCGGAAACAAACTGATGTGTTTCGTTGAATCGGGCTTTGCTAGATTCTACGGACATCTTGAATCCGTAGGTGCGGGCAAGGGCCTTCCTTCGTTGAATCAAATGACAAATCCAACCAACGTCCCTGATCCCATAAACGCCACGTTCCCCATCGGCGGCATATCCATGGCTGAAGAAGTATCCAGCGGCTCGGAAATGAAAAATAGATTCCATCCATAGTCCAAAGACGTACTGTGCCTCTGGACAATTCCATCCGAAAGGACTGGCCATATCCAAAAACGTAGCGAGTGGAAATTTGGATGCCTTATGTAGTTGGATAATTTTACCAACGGTATGATCGATGTACTTGCGATACTTGGATTTGTCGCTAAGGGGCGAATATGACGTTGTGTCGAACCACATTGCGGATTTTTCACATTGCATCAACTGGATGATCAATTTGGCCGACTGAATACATTCTTTGGGGACTACATTCCAATAACAATTCATAAAACAATTAATTTTGTGCCATCCATCACCTGCCAGAATATGAAGACACAAACATTAACTTACTGATACTATCTTTCAATGCCGGTGCATCGCATTTGATGAGTTCATATGTATTCTCAAATGATCGAGTGGCAGCTTCAGAGTCTGGACGGAATGCTTCGTTTCGGTATTGGATCATGAACAATTTGAATCGAAGAAACCAAACCAATCGCCGGAGCTCGGTCCTTTGAGATTTCTTCATCGAGTCGACTTCGGCAACAGAGGCGATTGTGCTGATGAATTGTTTGAGCCGGCATTCAGCCTCTTGAAGTGTTGGGGTATTGGAACAATACCCGGCAGTCGCGAGTGACACGCATGGGATAGTAGTTTCCTTTGCAACACACATGGAAGGTGCAATAACCCCCTCGTAAATAAGAATTTGAGCAACTGAGACCTGGTAGGTCTCAGGGTTAATCAAGTGGTTCTTCATATCTTGATACAAAGTGTGTGGATTCTCGAGTCCAATACTGGTGAAGTCGCACATAATCTGACTGGGTTTTTGCACATATAACTTCAAACTCGACGCTTGGAGGCGTTGGATTTTCTGAAGTACGGCTGCAGCTGTGATTCCGGTATTGCCTTGATTGGGGATGGTAATCAATGATTCTATAAAATCATTGATCGTACGTTGGTCTTTTTGTTCGAAATGAATTTCTGCCGAAACCTTGGAAAGATAATCGCTCGAAGGGAAGAGTAACCTCGGAACTGAATAACCCTCGAGAACACACGGTGCAGCATCTTTGAACAGTTTGGTTACTAAAAATTGGATTGTAAGAATATTAGTAATCAGCAAATCGAGAATGTAATACAAAACCTATACTCACTCGAATGGTCTGGTTCTCTACGTTCAGCCGCGGCAGACTGGGTGTTTGCTTGGGGTTGGAGGATGATGGTCGCAGTGCGGCCTGTTGGATTTATAGGACGAACATATCCGAATTTACTGATCCATGGAGGACTTTGTACACCTGTGTTGGCATTGTCCCGATCTTGATGGAGCTCTCCCGTAGAAGGATTCTAATACAGGATACCGTTGAATTTTACATGGATGTATGTTAAAAAGAAATATCACACAATTGTCAACACGGATTTCAGGTACGACATGTACAGTAATGTCAAAGGCAGCGAACCTCGTCAAGATCCATATATTCGGTCGTGCTTGAACCAAGGAGTTGATTGGCAGAAGCGGTCGTAGCTGAAGGGTCGGTCGCATTAATGGCATTCCCGGCGGGAATAGAAGGATCAGCCGGATCACGATCCTACAATCCACACATGGATAAAACAACATCAGCGCTGGTATGTGGTGTGCTGACAGTGCAACCGAAGCCCCGTCTCGATAGCTCACCAAGGCCGTAAGTGAGTTTACACCGAAATATTCTTTCTGTGTGCTAATTACCTGGGCAATTAAATTATTCCCATTCACAACACGTTCCTGTTGCAACTGACGGAAGCAGCAGCGTCAGCAACTACCACATCCACACAGCGTAACGCCCACCGAGTCTGCCATCATTCTCGACCAACCACATACCTCTGAACCGGATTCAGAGTGGCTAACTTCACCATCGTCAGAACAGTTACTGTCGTTGCTGGCACCGGAGTCCTATAGCCACAGTGAGCACGTTGTTAGTCACGGGTGTCGCACAAAGCGGCAGATCATGTGTCAGCTGCGCACGGATACCAGTGCCGGCCACAATATGGCCACGGTTTGGCTAACACAAGCAAACGGAATCTCGTTGCCCACCCAGCCGCATCCCGCAAAGCAGCTACCGGACGCCGAAGCGACGGGCTGTGGGGGAACCAGCGAAACCCCAGGAAACGGGTTTATACGGGACGTGGGACCCGATCGCATAGAAGAGGGCTACAAGCGAGAGATCTACTTACCGCTATGTGGGTTTCGGTTCGTTCGCTGAGAGGCTGGTCCTATTGAGATCGATAGCCAAGAGGGCGTCAGCGAGAGACGATATTATGGCGAGAGTGAGCACCAACGGTGACGGGCTCGCACGGAGAAACCAACGGCTCCATAGAGCAGCATACATCTAGGCTCGCTATGGTGGCGGCGGTACCGCCTTGACCACCGCCGTCCTTCTGACCCTATCGACAAACCAGAGGCGCTGTTAGAGCCAAAGCTAAACGCCAAGTAGGGTGGGTGGGGTACATCGACAGCATACGCGAGAGCACAGAGTACCGTCCTAACGAGCACATACCTCATGGGGCTCTGGCGAGGGAGTCGGAAGGCTGGGCTCTCCCTTTCCAGGTTCAGGAGTCTAATAGAAGCCAGATTAGCATCCACCCCACGATCCAAGCGACCGGAGGCTCAAGTACTTGCAACGGAGCACCACCCACTTCTTTCTCACCTGGTCCGAGGCAGCTTTGCTGGAAGTACCCTTGTCTCCACCTTCTCTACCAGCATCCTGAATCTCGCAAACGGCGAAAAAAAGGCGGAATGCCGAGCGGCGCAGGAAACGGCCGGCACGGGGTTAGGATGTGACCGGCTATCTCATCCCGGCGGACAGGCGGGTGGTGGCGGGGGCTGGTGGCAGCGGATAAGCAACCGCGTGCCCATCCACACGACCACAGCGGCCGATGGTGGACTGTGGCGGCGATATCGGTATCAAAGGGTCCGGCACCGCTCCGAAAACAGATTTGACCCCAGGACCCGGGCGACAAAGACACTGAATCGTAACGATTCCTCGGATCATCAGATCCATCAAGAACACTGATATCGATACAGTGTTCTCGACAGTGGATCAGGAGTAACCACCACCCACTGGCAATGAACATCAAACATCATGGCGAGTGACAACAACTCCTGCCATGATGGGACGGGTGTGTGTGTGTTGGAGACTTACCTCAGCAGAAGAGACGGTGGTCTGTTCGAGATTGGTCTGTGTGGCAGCGTCGCGAGTGTTAACGACGGAAGAACGGACAAGGCTCGGGGTAGCGCTGGGAGTGTGTCACAGACACGGAGCAAACGGCGAAAGCTTACCTGAGGAGGCTCGGAAGCAGGGGCTGCGGTCGGCTTGTCGTTCTGTTCAGTGTCGGCACCGAGCTAGCGATAAACGGTGGATGATAGGCATGGAACAGAGTGTCAGAAGGAGGCGTCCGTGGTCTATGTATCGGTGGCGTCTAATACACTGCCGAACAACCCCTCGGGACAGCAGCGAGATCGGCGAAAGGGGGTGACGCTGACTTACCCTAGGGCGCTTATTGGCGGAATTGGTAGCTGTTTGAGACAACTGTCGCTTGGGGGGTGTAGCTCCCTGTGACCATTGGAGGATGTCGTTAGAACGCTAGACCGTCACTCGCAAACAGGCGCTGCCAGGAGCTGCTCAAACTGGCGAGCCAGAGCGGGTGACAACACTTACCTTTCGAGCTGCTTGGGGACTGGGTTGCACCAAGGGGGGATTATTTGGAGAATCGCCGGTGGTATTTCCGCTGCCATGACCGGAGCGGGTGGAAGGGGCCATTCTGACGGAGGAGAAGAACGGGTAAAGGTTTGGAAGAGCGAGGAGTCGCTGGGTAGGGGGTTGCGAAAGCGGGTTGCAGGTCGTTGGCTCGAGGCGAGGTCGGGAGCGACGATGGGGGGTTGAGTCTCGAGGGACGGGTGGCCTGGATTTATACGGCCGTGAGCATCCGAAATATTTTAGCGGCGAACTGCAAAGACCGAAAGACCGATGCCATCACCTCCCATCCCCCTTTCGCCGCCGCCACCTCCTCGGCCGCCTTCTCCTAGTCCGCCTCCCCCTCGGCCACAGCGAGAACGGCCTCTGCGCCATCGCTCTTCCCACACGCATATTCGTCCTCTCCGCAGGGTACACTCCTTGCGAGACTCAGCCAGACGGTCGCGCCGATTGGTGGGTATGCGAGAACCAACCAAAAGCCGACATACATTGGCGCGCGACAGGTGGGGGGCCATTGTTAGAGTCCGAAGGGGACTCAACGGCAAAAGAAGAAGTGAGCTCGAAGTGAGCTCAGGGAAGGCAAGGGTAAAGTCCGAAGTGGACTCGGAGAGGGAGCGAGGGAAGCAAAGATCCGTTCAAGATAAGACTAGTCTCGAAATGAGACGTGAGGAACACTCAGAGAATAAAGTAGAAGGCACTTTATTTAGTCCTATTTTGAACGCTGAGGTTCGACTACACATCGCGGGGGTCAGGCTATTTATAGACAAGTCCGGACTTGGCAGCGAAGGGCGGCCAAGGGAGGGAAAAGTGGGCGATCGAGCAGGGCGAAGGGGGCGATGCACGAACGAGGGCCGAGAAGGACCACCGAGACAGGCAGAGAACCAAAGCGAGGGAGGCGCAAGCAAAAGCGAAGCACCTGGCAGGAGAAACGTGCAAAGGCGAAGCAATGTGACTCAACGTCCAAGAAGCGGATTGGTCAAGTATAAGGTTGGGGCAAATGCATGCGAGATGAACAAGAGATCGGGGCGGTCAGGCAGGTCATGAGTCACCGGTGGTGGGACACATGACCGGCAGCCGAATTGCAACCAATCGCAGCAAGGCGCGTGCACAAACAAACCGGCGCGTGCGAAGAAGACAAAGGAAGCGGAGCAGCGCGGGGAAACGGAAGTGCGGAAGGAGCGGAAATGGCAGGCAAAAGGCGGAAAATTGGAGGGGAACTGCAAAGCTACACACAAACAAACAGAAAGGCAAAAGAACAGCCAAGTGTGCAGTCAAAGTGGAGAACAAGCAGAAGCTATCCCTAACATCATCCCCTTCCTTAGCGACGAACTCCGGGCGTCGCCTTCGGCTTTGAGGGATAGCGAAGGTGGAAGTCAGCAACAAGATCAGTGGCGTGGGAAACATTGGCAGCGGGCTCCCAAGACCGGTCAGTCTCGGAATAGCCCTTCCACTGAACCAAGTACTGTAAGCGACCACGGAAGAGCCGAGAATCGAGAACAGTCTCGACCTCAAACTCTTCCTGGGAGTCAACAAGAATGGGTGGAGGTTCGGGTTGGGTGAACTCGGGAACAATGTCCTTCGTTCGGGGTTCAAGGAGGGATACATGAAAGACGGGGTGGACTTTGAGTGTGGAAGGGAGTTTAAGTTCAAAGGCAACGGGGTTGATGCGGCGAAGAACTTTAAAGGGGCCAAGCTTTTTCTGATCAAGCTTGTTGGAGGGACGAAGGGTGCGGATGTGGCGACGATCAAGAAAAACGAGGTCGCCAACGGAGATGTCGGGAGTGGGGAGACGGGATTTGTTGGCCTGCAAAGTGTAGGACTCTTGGGCAACCCGGAGGTTGGCCTTGAGATCCTCGAGAACGGTCTGAAGTCGGTCGACACGTTCTTCGGCAGAGGGCACAACAGAAGGATCACGGATGATGGAGGGATCAAAAATGGGGTGATGGCCATGGACTGCAAAGAAGGGAGTCATGCCAGTGGAGGTGTTTTCCGAGTTGTTGTAAGTGAACTCGGCAAGGGGAAGGTGAAGGGTCCAGTCGTCTTGCAGGTAATTGCAATGGATACGCAAATACTGCTCGATGACCTGGTTGAGAACCTCGGTCGAACCGTCGGTCTCGGGGTGGAAGGCAGAAGAAAGGGAAATCTTCGTCTTCAGAAGCTCATTGAAGCGCCTCCAGAAGGCCGAAGTAAACTGAGTTCCTCGGTCCGAAACAATAGACCGGGGACAACCATGCAAGCGGAAGATGTGGGAGAGGAAGAGTTCGGCGGTTTGCTCGCCTGTAACCGTCTTCGTGGTGGGCACAAAGTGTGCTTGTTTGGACAGGCGGTCCTTAACCACGAAGATGGAGTCAAAGCCGTTCGAAGGTGGGAGATCCGTGATGAAGTCCATCGACAGGTCCCACCAACGTTCGGAAGGAACGGGGAGAGGGTGAAGTAAACCATAAGGGGAGTGACGGGACGGCTTGGCTCGCTGGCACGCTTCACAATTAGCAATGAAGCGACGCACAGACTTACGAAGCCGGGGCCAGTGAAAGTCCCGGGAGATGAGCTCAACGGTCTTGGCAAGACCAAAGTGACCAGCGGCAGCGGAGCAGTGACGTTGCTCAAACACTTTGAGCTGGAGCTCGGGGGAAGGGACAACGATCAGGTCTTTAAAGTAAAGGAGACCGTCACGGAAGGAGTAATCGCCATCAAGACGTTTGGCGTTGAAGTCAGAAAGAAGGGAACAAGAAAGGGTGGCAGCTCGAATCTCGGAAAGAAAATCGGGGTTCGAGCCGATAACGGTGATGCTGTCGAGAGAAATAGACTCGAACAGCTGAAGGAAGTTGGTGGAGTGGAGGGAGTCACCAGGCTTTATCTCAAAGTCAGAACGGCGACTGAGAGCATCGGCTTTGGTGTTGAGGCGACCAGGGCGGTGGTAAATGCGAAAAGCAAAATCAGAAAGGAATTGGGCCCACCGGAACTGGCGGCGAGAAAGTTGGGAAGCGGAAGTGAACCGGGTGAGGTTCTGGTGATCAGAGAAAACAAG